GTGAATTAACCTGCAAACGCAGCCTTCTTGGCTCAAAGGGCATAAAAACATGAGTGTGAATTTCAAGCATGGTTTTGGGAATACCTTTTGAAGAAGAACTGAGGAAAAAAACCAGGAACTATTGCAAAGCCGTGAGACTACAAGGGTCAAGTCCCGTACTGATAGATGACGGTAATTAGAGGGCATTCTGAAGCCATGGCATTCTGCTTACATGCCTAATGAAGCATTTCTTTCCAAGTGTTCTCAATTCTGTTTTCAAGTGATTTCTTAGGTCTAAACAAAACATCTCCGTTTCAGTTCATCTGTATGGGATGTTTACCCTTCTTTTCATAAGCCCTCAGCAAAGTAGAACAAAATGAAGAAGCACTCATTACCATTGTAGCTCAATAATTTTCATTAATAATAAAGTTTACGGGGTTGTAAACGGTTTTCTCTATAAAAACAGCCATCAAATCCAAAACCATTCCCCCAATACTCTCTATTTGAATTTTAAAATTTACTAGTCCTATATGAGAGAAATAATACACACATATGATTTTTGTTTAAGATTCATTCATTCAATTTGGTGACAAAAAGATCTGAAAACTGCCATCATTTATAAGCTCATGCATCTTCTGATTTTAAACTGAGTACTATATAAGACATATGATTCGTGTTTGTGTAAAATAAAGAACACCAGTGTCCTCTTGTCTTTTATAATTGAACTAAATGTGACCATTATAATAATTTCAATTGCTTTGTTTATATCTTCTGTAGAGTTTTCTCCACACTCAGTATATAACAACCATAGATTTATGGCAAATGCTACTACTGTTGATTAATGCATTCCACAGAGGACAGATGATTTTCTTTCCTTGTACACCACTGTGGTAGTTATATAATCTGTTATCAATTCGAGAGGATTAAGAGTGAAGGGGAGGAGTGTAGCCTGTCAATCAGGTTGCAGATGGATGACCTCATTTGGAGGCATTAAGGAGATAAGTAGCTCACTGGAGGCAGGGCCCAGGTTCACTCCCTGGGAGACATTGCAGCTGACAAGACATATGGAGCTACTTATACTAGCTACACTAGTGCCCTGAGCTGGAGGAGCCACATGGAGACGCCTGACAGGGCTGAGATGCTCACAACATCACTGGATCCACAAGACTTCCCACCCACTGGCCTGTGCTCTTCCTGCATTCAGCATCATTGCATGTGTTTCGTGAGTCTGAAGAGAACTTTATAGATCGGTATTGGACATATGCGCTAATATCAGATTTATGTACATAATCTGGACTGGGCTGGGATGTTTTTCTTTATCTACAATTACTCTTTATGTAAAGCATTTTCTTATACACACATGAATATCTATGAATTAGTTTCTCTAGTCTACCCAGACTAACACAATCATTCTTTTAAAAAATGCCACTGAATATAATTTGAATTTTCTACCGACACCTATATGCATGTGAAAGATGGACATGGAATAGAGAAGACCAAAGAAGAATCAATGCATCTGAATGGTGGTGCTGGTGGAGAATATTGAAAGTACCATGAACGGCTAAAAGGAAAAACATCAGTCTTGGAGGAAGTATGGCCCGAGTGTTCCTAAGAGGCACCGATGATGAGACTTATCTCACCTACGATGGACACGCTGTCAGGAGGGCCAGTCCCTGGGGAAGAACGTCATGCTTGGTCAAAGAGGAATGCTCCTCAGTGAGATACACTGATGTGCACAGTGGCTGCAACACTGGGATCAAGCACGGGAACAACTCTGAAGACGGTGAGGACTGGGCAGTGTTTGGTGCTGTTGTGCACTGGGGGACGAGGGTTGGAAATGACTTGATGGCACCTAACAACAACACCTGTCTCTGGCGGTGGTACCTTGTAATGTATCCCAATTATTCTGGAACCTAAAAGGAGCCTGGCAGTGTCGTGGTTTTGCGTTGGGCTGCGATCCGCAGGATAGGCAGCTCAAAACCACCAGCGGCTCCACAGGAGAAAGCCGAGGCTTTCTAGCCCCGTAAGCAGTGACCGTCTCCTCAGGAAACCGCAGGGGTCGTTATGAGACAGAATTGATTTGATGGCAGTGAGTTTGGTTCTTTAATTGTAGAACCTAAAGGTTGTTTTGTTCAATTTTTGAAAGGAAGTGTTTTCATAATCATCTTCGATCCTAAAAACTATGTTTCACACAATGAATTAACGGAGCCTAGGTAAAAATTCTCCCCGTCCATGTCTTAAAAAGTCTTTTGCAAAACCCCATGGGATTTGTAATGAATCCTTCACACCTGAGGAGTCTTGGGTGGGGGATGGAATGGCATCCAAAGAGATGGGAAATGTTCCAGAAGCCAGAAAGAGGATGGAGTCATGTGGATGGACACAATGAGAGGAATGTTTCAGATTAGTGGCGCTCCAAGAGTGGTCCCTAGAATAGCAGCAGCACATCTTCCGGGAACAAGCTAGAGATGCCGGATCTGGGCCCTGGTCCCAGGCCGGTGAAACCAGAAACTAGGGCGCTCGAGCCCAGTCTGCTTCACGAAGGCTGCTTGGTGATTCTGATGTTGGTAAATGCTTGAGAACCACTGCCCCATGAGATCTGCAGGTGTGTTTTTCCTGAAAATTAGAGGCCCAGACATATTTCCAAAATATTTTCAGTATTTGGTAATACATTTCCAAAAAAGATAATAAACAATCCAGAGCACTGGCTTTTATCAATACATCTGAGAATTTCGGGTGACTGGATCCATGCTTCATTGAAGTAACTAGAGTTTGAATTAAACATTCACTGCCCTCTTCCAGTGATCGACTGGGGCCACTCCGTGCTTCTGCTCACCATAGGTGACCTTTCCCTCCCACAGGCTTTATGTCACCATTTAGGACCGCACAGGAGCATGAGTTTATGCTCCTGGTATTCTCTATGGCAAGATTTCGGAAGGGTAGTTAGGTGGTTTGTACTGTTGTTTAGAAAGATCCATCTGGCATCCCAATGGAGAAAGCAACTTGGATACTGGGTACAATGGTGACGGATCTATTCAGCAGATACTAACTACTGTGTCAGTATTTCCTGTCAATAACCTGAAGACACGTGAAAAAATAAACAGCGTATTAGCTTGGTTTTCTCAGACGTCTTTCAGAAACAAAAATAAAGAATCCGTTATGGTTCAGTCCACTACAATTTATGGAGACCACGTGCTAAAAGAACAAACCAATCTGTCTTGGAAGAAATACGGCCAGAGAGCTCCTTAGAGGAAAGGATCACGAGACTTTTTTGTTACATAGTTCACACGTCGTCAGGAGAGACCAGTCCTTGGAGAAGGACACATGGTGGGTAAAGTGGAGGAGGAGTGAAAAAGAGGAAGGCCCGCTAGGAAATGGGGCGACACACTGACGGCACCAATGGGTTCAGGCACAGGGCCAATTGTTGTTACACGTGTGTAACAACAGCACATGTGCATCAGAATAGAATTGGGCTCCACAAGGCCTTTAGTAAATTATTTCCAAAGTGGATGGCCAGCCCTTCCCTGTGAGGTGCCTCTGGGTAAACTCGAACTGCTTGCCTTTTGCTTAGCATCTCGTGCTTAAACATTAGCACCACAACCACAGAAGTGTTGGCATCATTCCTTCCACCAAGCTCAACAAAAAAGGACTACGTAACTTTCCTGATATCCGAAGAAAGAAATGTAAATGGAAGAACACAATTAAGAACACATCAAAGACAAATTCCTGGGGGAAAAAACTAGGGGAGACATAAATTCTTATAAATCAGAAAACTGAATAATAAGAGGGAGGGCACCAAAGGCTCTTCAGAAATTCCCTCCTCCCACTAGCCAAGCGCTCTATAAAGCAATGAGATCAAGAATCGTGAGAAAGGGTGGTTGTGAAATCAATGCTTCAGGCTTTTGGCTGTTTTGCTTCCGGTCCTTGTTGTTGTGGTTTTGTTGTCGGAAATTAAAAGAGGTTAAGAAATTTGTGGGGACATAGATGAGGGTCTTGGATGTTATTTGGGATTCAATGAATCACATTTTGCCCTTGGTAACCTAAACTCCAAAGTCACTGCCCTCTAGTTGATTCCAACTCATAGTGATCCAATAAGACAGAGTAGAACTGGCCCAGTGGGTTTCAGATACTGTAAATCTTTCCAAGAGTCAAAAGCCTCCTCTTTCCCCCCATGAGTGGCTGGTGCTTTTGAAAAGCTGACTTTGAGGTGAACAGCTCAACGCATAGCCTACCACAATGTCCTATTTCAAACCGGATTAATGAACTTGTAACACTGAGCTTTATTTCATATGAATTGACTTTGTAAAAATATGTCATCCTGTGAAAAAATTATTATCGATGACTTTCATAGCTTGTCATCAAATCTTTATATCAGGCTTCATCAATTATGATGAAGTCTCTTCTAACAACTACACCTCAGTACTTAAGTACAGCTGAAATGGAAAGATGGAGGGCCTACAGAACTCTATCTACATACCCAACTCAACAAGTCTTCCGTCTGCATCTTCTGGAAAACTCATGCAGGGAGACCAGGAAAACGAGAATCCCTCCAAAGAAAACCATTGGAGGGATCCGGAAACACTGCGCGATCAATAATGCACAAAAACATAAAGACGTTCTCCTGTACCACCTTAATACTTAGAATCCTCCTTGATCATGAAGTGCAGGTGATTAACTGAATCTTATATTGGTTTCTTGTACAGTAGAGTTACTAGATTGCCATTTCCTTAAGGACAACATCGAAATTCCTTCTGTTTTGCGTTTTTAAGTTCTTTTCTTATAGGAAGAGCCCAACCAAGCTCACTGCCAGCAAGTCATGGAGACCCCAGAGGACAAAGGAGAACTGCCCTGGGTGAGTCTCTGAGACTGTACTCCTTGACAGGGGAACAAAGCCTCCCCTTTCCCTCAAGGAGTCTCTGGTAGTTTCAAACTGCCGACCTCGCAGTTAGCAGCCCAGTGTGTAACCACTACAGCCGCAGGACCCCCTTTCTTACAGGAAGCGCCTTGTAAACATCGGTGGGGTGAAGGGATGGACCGAGTACGTTACTTAGGAGAGAATGACTGAATCGAAATGGTCAAGCATGAATGCATCCCCGTCCCCCGCGTGTTTCCGTTGTGTTTCTCACATCCCCGTCCCCCGCGTGTTTCCGTTGTGTTTCTCACATCCCCGTCCCCCGCGTGTTTCCGTTGTGTTTCTCACGTACCTTTCTTCCTTCAAGGAACTTGAGCGCTGTGCCGATGTTGGCCACAGCGTGGATTCGCTTCATGCGGCGTCCTTGTTCACAAGGCTGTTGTTACAAGGGACAGAGGAGGGGACGAATCAAAATGCACATCTTAAATAGTTATAAAAACAATTTGAATGATTTAAAAATAACCTTGGAGAGTACCGGAGAAGAACAACCAGCATTGCTCATTTTCTATAAAGATTGGCAAATTAAAGAAAGTGCCATCCTCCCAGTGTTCTGAAGATGTATTAATTCACTCAATAAAAGACACGTCTTCAAAAAAAGAGACATGCCTTTTCAGTTTATCTGCTAAAGTCTCTGTCTTCTACACTTCTGTCAGCCTAAGAACAGAAAGCCGCAGAACACCTATGCAGTCTATTGAGACTTTCCTTCACACCTACAAGTTGGTAAGTATTTATAGGAAAAGGTCTCCTGGTCACTCATCGTTTGTTCCCCAGCCACACCATCATGGAAAGACAGATCGAGACAGTATTAATAACATTTGTGGATCTGCATGATCTACATATATGGAACATATGAGTCCAGGTTAAGAAACAGGACTGTGAGATTGGAAATGGTCTTTACCCAACACTATGTTTTGGTATGTGAACATAGTAGATTCGTTACTGCATCCCTGGTTGCTATTAATAATCTCTTGTGTGCTTTCGACGTGTCATGCTGTTAATGTGAAGCATCAAAATCAGTTCAATGAGGAAGATACTAGTGGTCCCCTTTATAGTTACAGAAACTATACAGATAACAGGCTCAAAACAAAGTATCTTTTCATCCCCATTTAATAGTACAGTAGCCAACTGTTCTATTGCATACTTTTAAAACAATTATTTTTAAATGAGGATTGATTTTCACTTATTTATTTTTCAGTTAGTCCTTGTTGGAACCACTAAAGAACATGGTGAAGTCTCATCCAGGTCAATGCTCGCCCATGATCAACTTGGTTATCATAATTCTCTTTGATGATATAAAAAGCACCCATGAGCCAACCAAGTAAAATAAAGCCAAGACACTTAGGTGTGACGGCCCTATCTTTCACGGCTGCCCCAAGGCCATCCCTCTGCTTCCGACATCAAGGGGACCTTCATTCAAAGCCCAGCCCTTGCTTTCTTTTTATACGTGCTCACTTCCTGCATATGCGTGCTTAGAAACAGTACTTATTCTAGTTTGTCTACTCTCTCTATAGGGTATCATTCTGCATGAATCCTTTCAGAATCACTTTTCCATACACTATCATATTACTGGACTCCTCCATCCTGCTGCCTGTCACTGTATTGCATTCACTTTGACAGTTACATCACTTGCCATTTATCACTTTCATTTTGTTGTGAATATGGGTTATTTCCAGATTTTTTCTATTGTCTTTATGTTTATTTGATCATTCTTGTACATTTTATATTTTACACTTGTATAAAGAGTTTCTCAAAATATGAAGGAACAATTGCTGGGTTGGGGAAATGAGATACTAGAACTTCTGAAACAATGCTAAATGTCTCACTCTCACCTATGATGCATTAGTAATTATATGGCTCAATATCTTTTCAACCCTTGATATGGATAGATTGTTTAAACAATAATTGACTGTCTAGAAAGTGGTCTTACTGTGGTCCTCATTTGCATTAATCTGATCCACATTTATCTGAATATTCCACCATCTTCACTGGGAACGCATGTTTCTTCTGCGAAGTATCTAATCAAGTCTCCCAAAACTTTTTCTCTTGGGGTTATTTGTACCCTTAGTGTTTTGTAGGTGTACTTTATATATCTTTGATATAATTCTTTCTTAATACTTTTACAAAATGAATGTTTAACATCTTCAACTAATTCATAGCGTCTTTTATTCCTTTCTTTAAATATTCTTAATTTCAACATTGTCAAATGTATACATCTTTTATTTCATAGTTGATGTCTTTGGATCTTATTGAATAATCAGCTGAAACCCATGTTCTAAAAGATGTTCACTCATATTTTCTACTCTAAGTTTAAATATTGTTTTTGACATTTAGTCCATGTATAAGAGTCTTCAAAAAGTCCATGGGGAGGGGAGAAGAATGAAAACATAATAGGATTTTTCCATAAATGTTTTGAAGTTCTTATTACATATTTTTTCTATATGTCATCTGATTAGAGTCAAATTTCTCCTTTTTCTATTAAAAAAAGAAACAAACCAAATACATGGCCACGGGATTGATTCTGGCTCATCGCAAGCCTTCGGAGGGCTTCGGAAGCTATCAGTCTTCACAGGAGCAAATAGCCTCATCCTACTCTCTTGGAGCGGCTGGTGGTTTTGAACCACCAACCTTGCAGTTAATAGTCCATTGCTTACACGACAGCACCACCACAGCTTTTCCCATAAGGATAGACCTTTTTTTTCTATTCCATTTTGACCATTTCGCAATCTCATGCCCACTTTTACATACATATCTTATTCCGTTTATGGATTCTATTGCCTTTGTCAGATTGCATCCGGCTGCCTTAAATAACAGTTTCATTTTAAGGCGTGAAGTTTAGTAGTGCAAGTATGTTTTCTTTCTTTTTCTTATTCAGGCAAGTGCTGGCTGAATAACCAAGATCTAAACATAACCTATTTGTATTTACTTTTACATACGTTGACCTGCCATAACGATACATTCTCTCTCCTTCCCAACTGCAGGTAGCCCTGGTGGCACCCTGGTGATGTCCTCAAGTTCCAGGAACCCAAGAGGAGAGCGAATTTTGGGAATGATGAGGGCCACAAATGTATAGGTGTGCTTTACGCAATTGATCTATGTATTGTGATGAATTGTATGAGCCCCAATAAATTGATTAAAAGATATATATATAACAAAATGAAGTCAATAAAACCATACTTATCAATTAAAAAAAAAAAGAAAGAGCAGTAGTTCGAACCCGCCAGCTGCTCTGCAGGAGACAGATGTAGCAGTTTGCAGCTTAATGGGTTAGGGCCTCGGAAACCCAATGACCTTCACATCCTAGTGCAGGGCCAGCGTAGCTCGCTCATGCGTAGGCCTGTGTTTTCCAAATCCCGTGGTTCCTATGTCTCTGCATCTCCCAAAGCAGAGCTGGAGACAAGGATTTGAGTGTGTGGCTGGTTGGAGAAGTGATCCCACATAGCAGCGGGGAGGACGAACATACGAGGACATACAAGGGAAGAGGGAATATCCATCAGGGTATGCTTCTGAGCTGGTTGCCATGGGCAACGAGGGCTCACGCACCAGCTGGCAAGTCTATAAGAAGCATTACAAGGCATGTGTAGAACGCACCTCAGGATTGGCGCTCGTCTCAGCAAGAGAGGGGGTGCTATTCACGGACACCCCGCTCTATCAGTTGAAGTTTCCTTGCAAACTCAAACCCAACTCGCTGTTATGGAATCAACTCTGACTCAGGACTATGAATTCTCCCACACTTCAGGACTGCTGTGTGCAACCTGTGGCTTTGATAAAGCTCTGAGGCAGAAATGCAGAGAGCTGCCCCAGTGCTTGAGACGAGATGGTGCCAGGTGTGTGAGAAATGCCCGCCATTGCTACCGCTGGAACCAGGGGTGAGCCTAGATGGGACACGGGCACACCAACATCTGCTACAGTATGAGTCAAAAGCGGACTGATTCACTCCAAAGTATTCTCAATTTCTACTGAGTTAGCTCTGTTTGCTGCCACCAAGCAACCCATTCTAAAAAGTCCGTGTGGGGATTTCCTATCCCCTCCAAAAATTACCTGGAGATTGATTTTTATCCAGGAACGCTCATTAAAAAGCCAATTACTCACACAACCATCATTAGAATATTCTTGTCAATAAGCAAGAGGAACCATCATGAAAAATCAGTCCCCCGTTGCAGGCCGTGGGTCTGTCATCTTACACATCATTCTGAAGGCTATTCTTTTTAGCTCTTTTTATTCCATTATGGTGCACGTCACTCACCAGTCATTTAAGTTCACCAACTACTGACTGTCCCACTGCCCTGAAATGCAGAAGTACGAGCCAGCATAAGTAAATAAATACTGCATCCTTTGAATAATGCTAGAGAACGTGCCATTTATAGCTCATTGTCCCTTGTTATCCTTCGGCTGGCTCGGTGCACATGAGAACAAAGGACTAGGAAGACGTTGTCCCTCGGACACACATGACAGGCAATGTCAACAAGAGCATGGAAAAGGCCACGCTGCTATCAAGCTTAAGTTTCAATAAAGAACAATCAACACACAGATAGGGAGCCATAATTCTTCCTGAATCGAAAGCAGGCACTGACAGTATAAATGTTGCAACTAATCTTCCCAGGCACTGGGCAAGCACAATAACTAGCTACCTTTGACTGATAGAGGTTGCGTCATTGTTTTTCATCCATAACATTTCAAATCTAAGAAGGCACCCAAAAGGTCATGGGGTAAATTCCATTATGTTTTAGCTTCATTTTTCACATGAACTTTTGTTTTAAAGCCCCCTCACATTCCTTGTTCCTAGAAATGATCGGGTACTGCCAACTGCAGAAGAAAACTTGCTCTCTAGGGGCGACTTCCCTGATACTTTCAACCCCAAGTCCATCCATCTCCACCCACCCCCCAAATACAAACTCACTCCTGGTGTGTTGATTCTAACCCAAAGGGCCCCTCTAGGACAGAGCAAAACTGTCCCCAAGGGTTTCTGAGATCGTGAGTCTCTGCTGCCGCAGACAGCCTCATCTTTCCCCCGTGGAGTGGCCAGTGGTTTTGAACTGCCATGTGTTCAGCTAGCGCCTCAATGCTTAGCCCACAACCCCACCAGGCCTCCACTTTCAACCCCACAATGCCCAAATTTCAAATGGAAATGCTTTGGCAGGATGACCATGGCAGGGGCGGAGGGGCG